ACACACACACACACACACACACACACACACACACACACACACACACACACACACCATACCCGTGCGCCGCAGACGAGGGCAAAGTGGATACGGTGGTCAAAGCGTGTGGGCAGGAAGGCGACGCGAGGATCAGACGTTGGCCAGAACGTCCGCCGCTTGGAGGAGGGGTGCGCCCGGTTGCCTGCGGGCGAGGGAGGGTATCATGACGAGTTGAGTGCAGTCGCTCACATCAACACAAATGGATGCACACGACCAGACAGACAGACAGACAGACAGACACACCAACACACACACACACACACACACACACACACACACACACACACACACACACACACAGACACACACACCAACACAGATACAACCTTCCCACCACACACCCTACCCAACTGACATCGAAGGATGCCGTGCTCCATGTCGTCGAGGGAGAAAAAGTGATCGCCGATGAGGTAGCCGTAGGTGCTCCAGAACTTTGGAACCGTGAGCACGCCGGAGAAGCGGTCGCCGCCCAAGTGGATGATCGCGTGCACGGTGGCCATGTTGTACACGTTGATGAAGAGGGCCATGGTTTCGTCGTGCGAGAGCTGGCTCAGCTGCAGCGACTGCAGTTGGAACGCAATCGCCTTCCAGTTGACAAACGCGTCGCTGTTCGCCACTGCAGTGTAGTCCACGCGGTTCCGGCCCTTCACGTGGTGTGCCAGTACAGCGTCTGCGACCTGGCACACGCGCTGCACAAACTCGGAGCCCGTGCAGGACCGGCCGAGCTTGGGCACGTTGACGTCCATGGACGCGTCTGCGCCGGCTGCGCGGGTGTGCGCCGCAGTGTTGAGCGGGACGTGCGATGCCCGAAATGGGCGGGACAGCCACCCCCATGCCTGCGACAGCAGCGCCATCATCCACGCGACCACCGACCCCACACTCAACCAAAGCCGCGCCACTTTCGGCTGTTTTGTCGATGTGCGGTATGGAAGGCGCTTTGGTTTGCTTTTGTTTGTGCTTGTGCGTCTTTGTGTTGATGTTGCCGAAATTTATGGCAAGGCACGGTAATTCTTCCCAACTTGCACCACACGACGACGACGACGATGAAGCTGCCACCTGTGCCTTCAGTTGCGCAGCTGCTAAGGTTGTATGGCGTGAGAGCGCTGAAGGACCTGAGCCAGAACTTCCTCCTCGACCCCTCCATCACAGGTTGTGCAGAAACGTGTGTGTGTGTGTGTGTGTGTGTGTGAACGTACGTGGTGTCATTGCCTTGTCCCAACTGTTCAGCCTTTCCACCCCCACATCTAACACACACACGCACATACACACACACACACACACACACACACACACACACACACACACAGATAAGTTTGTGAGGCATGCTGGGAAGTTGAAGGACAAAGTGGTGATTGAGGTTGGTGGCGGGCCTGGAAGCCTCACTCGATCAATCCTCAAGGCACAACCAAGGAAGCTCTATGTCATCGAGAAGGACACGCGCATGCTGCCCATGCTCGACGTAAGAGGTCAATGTGAATGTGTCACTTTGTGGTTTCGCGTGCTTCCGCGTGCATCTCGTACACAATCACCACATGCTCGTGGAATGACCACCATGCACTTGCTGCTGTGGCATCTTTTTGTGCAGTTGGTGGCGGAAGCGTCAGGCGGTGTGGCAGAGATTATCCCTGGCGACGCACTGCACATTGACTACGAGCAGCTCATCACCCAAGCAAACGTCGCCACTCAACGTGAGTGCGCCTTGTTTGGCATGCCTCTTTCTCCTTCCCCATTTCCTACCTCATTCCTTCTGCCACGCTCACCCACGATCACACGCTCACCCACACCCTCTTCCTCTCTCACCCACGCTCACCCACGATCACACACACACACACACACACACACACACACACACACACACACACACACACACACACACACACACAAACCCCCCCCCCTTTGCCACTGCAGCCACGGCAGCAGAGGGTGCGGATTCATCAGCAGCTGCGCCGGCGGAAACAGACTTGCACATCATCGGCAACCTCCCCTTTGGCATCGCCACGCCCCTGATTCTCTCATACCTGCGGCAGCTGTCGAGGCGTGACAGCGCGTTTGCCAGGAGCCGCCCGACACTCACGCTGTGCTTCCAGCGCGAGGTGGGCGAGCGCATATGTGCACCGCCGCGCACGAAGCCGCGCAGCCGCATCTCCGTCATCTCCCAGCTGTACGCCGATGTGCGCCCTGCGTTTGTGATCCCGAGCACGGCGTTCGTTCCCGCGCCAAAGGTGGAGGCCATGGTGGTGTCGTTTCGCCCTCGCGAGCAGCTACCGGAGGGCCTGGAACAACTGACGTTTGACCAGATGGAGCGCGTGCTCCGGATTGGATACGGCTCCAGGCTGAAGCGGCTGCGCCACGTGTTTTCTAAGCACGTGGGCGGCTTGCAGGCGGCAGATGACATGCTGGCGTCGGCCGGGTTCCCCGCGGAAACACGCGCGTTCTTCCTGTCCACACGCCAGTGGATTGACCTCGCCACCGCCTTTTACCAGCACCAAAGCGCGGACGGTGGCGGAGGGTGACGTCAGGGTATGTGTGTGTAGGAGAGAGAGAAAGAGAGAGAGAGAGAGAGAGAGAGAGAGAGAGTGTGTGTGTGTGTGTGTGTGTGTGTGTGTGTGTGTGTGTGTGTGTGTGTGCGTGTGTGTGTGTATGTGTGTACATGTGAGGCTTGTACCTCTTTCTGACTTGAACGCTTTGAATTACCGTAGGCCAACTGTGATAAGAACTCGTAGAACTCGTAAACATCTTCCCCTTGCAAGAGCACTTGCTGAACTGCTATGTGACAAAGTACACGACAAGACGCATGTTGATTGAAGCCATTGCATGTAGCTCAGCGCGTGCCTTGAAAAGAAGGAATGGGTGCACGTTTGCATGACGTGGTCTAGTCTCAAGATCAGAGTAAAGCGAGGGAACATAGCCTACGATGCAAGCAACCCGGACCAGATTCTAGCAAAGCAGCCACGCACACACACACACACACACACACACACACACACACAACACACCACACAAACACACAACACACGTCCACGTTCAGCAGCTTGGATCGATGGCGAGCACAGTGTCCATGAAGCGCGGGATGCCGTAGATGAGGCCGTTTGGAGCGACCACGCCGTCAAACCATTTGAAAGACCCATCGAGCCCGCTAATTGTTGTTGTGTCGGAGGTGTTGGTGGCCGGGTCGAAGATGAAGGCGGACGGTGAGCTGAAGGGGATGCCGATGATGTTGCCGTTGGGAGCAAGCACGCCGCCACTCCATTTCGTGGACTGCGTTTGCTCGGCGATGTCAATCGTGTCTGCGTTGTTGGTGGCTGGGTCAATGACGAGCATGCTTGAGCTCTCCGCGGGGATGCTGTAGATGAGGCCGTTGCCCGCAAGCACCGCCCCGCGCCACTTGTACGGTACAGCGCCCAGGCCTTGGATCGTGGTCAGGTCCATGGTGAGGGAGGCGGGGTCGATGATGAGGACGGCAGCAGCCAGGGACGGCATGCAGTAAACGAGGCCGTTGGGAGCTTGCGCACCGCCATACCACTTGTCACTGTCCGTGGACAGGCCGGACAAGGTTGTGTTGTCGGCCGTGTTGGTTGCTGGATCGACGAGGAGCACGGATGTCGCATCGCGTGGAATGCCGAGGACGAGCCCGTCGCTTGTCACCAGGCCGCTGTACCACTTGTAGCCGTTGGAATCAAGGGTATCGACGCTCGTGGTGTCGGTCGCGTTGGTGGCGGGGTCGACGATGAGCACGGCCGTTGCGGAGTATGGGAACATGTACACGAGCCCGTTGTGTGCCAGGACGGCGCCAGCCCACTTGAGCTTTTGCAACCCAAGCCCCGCGATGGTGGTCGTGTCGACGGTGTTGGTGCTGGGGTCGATGATGAGAACCGCGTCTGCGTTGAACGGAGCGGCGTAGATCAGGCCGTTGTCGGCCAGCGCCGCACCCACCCACTTGTTGCCCGACGTGCCGACCTCTTCTTGCCCGAACGTGGTCGCACTTGCATGGCACACCCTGCCTCGGAGCGCAGCCACTTGGTACTGCTGTGCGTCAACCGTGCTCTGCTGCGCATCGAGGGTGCTCTGCTGCGCCTGCACCGCTTGCTTGTGCTCCCGCAGCGTGCTCTGCTGCGCCACCACTGCCTCAAACAGCGCGTCCACGCTCACGCCGTTCAGGAACACGGGTTGCGTGTTCGGATCGCTCGTGTTGATGTGGAATACACCCGCATCATCCTCCGCCAACACCGCCTCCCCCAAGCAGCCATGCTGCAACTGCAATTGCAACAACACCAAGGCAGCGACGCTGGCGGCGATCAGCACCACGCTCCTCGCCAAGAGCCGTGATGGAAGAGGAGCTGTCGTCATGAGGAGCGAGCAGGTGCGAACAATCAATCCACGTGCGAGTGCAGAAAAGTGGAACAAGATAAGCAACACTTTTCCTTAGTGTGATGTGAGTGATGTGAGTTGTGGTGATTGGAGTGAGTTGTGATTGCGGCCTTCCCTCTCAGTTCCCTTCCTTCCTTCCCCCTCTTGCTAACCTCCCTTCATGAACGCCTCAGCGCTGGTGCTGGTGGCTGAGTGGCTGGTGCGCTCAGCACAATCAGCGACACAATCACCGACACAATCACCGACACAATCAGCGACACAATCAGCGGCGAGAACAGTCAGCTGTGACATGTGCGGTGATGATGACGCTATCAAGAGCAGGACAGAGTGCAGCAGGTACCTCGACTACGCCTTTGAGCCACCGGCTGAGGATGTGCTGCGCGACGTTCTGCGCACCTTCACCAACCTCATGCTGACCTGTCGCGAGCTGTACCACGACTTGCCGTGGGCCATGCCAAAGTGGTGCTTCGCCGAGGCGTTTGAGTTGGGTCCTGAAACGTGGGATCAGCGCGTTCAAACTATCGTGCACTGGCTCGACACCTTCCAAGTGCAGCAGCAGCAGGGAGAGGTGGATATGGAAATGACGAAGGAGATGGAAGAGGCGGAGATGGTGGAAGAGGCGGAAATCATGGAGGAGGGCGTCTGTTCGGCTTCTGCCACGTGGCTGGAAACCCGCTTTCTCGTGTATGCGTGGCTGGGGGCAACGTGGAGCTCCGAAGGCACGTTCCTGCGTTCGAAGCTGCTAACGGCGTCCTCCTCGGCACCAGGAGGCAAGAACAGCCGCGCCTTCTGGCGCACGTTTACACACTGCGGACGCGTGTGGTTTGCTTCTCTGCAGGACTTGCAGTCCTGGGCTGCTGCCGCTGCCGCCGCGTCTGTGAGTTCACGGCGCACGATGCGACAAACACACGCAGCACGAGCTGAAGGACCTGCCAGAACTACACAGGCACTTCCAGCGACGAGTAGAAAAGAGCACGAGAAGGAACAGGAGCAGGATGAAGAAGGACAAACAGAACGCAAAGGGGAGCAGCAAGAACAAGCAGAGCACGACCATGACCACGACCCGCAACACCACCACCACGACGACGACCCCCACCACGACGACGACGACCACCACGACCACCACGACCACCACCACCAGCAGCAGCGAGCACCTGCACTGTTCTCGCTCGTGGCAGTGTTGAACAGTCAGGCCGACGCCGATCAGTGGCACGAGCTGCGCGCAACGTTGCTGGGCAATGCAAGGGGGCACGACGTATGCCTGTGTGCACAGGAACCATTGGATTCCCTGATGGTGAGCCACGTTGACAGTCTCGAGCTTCAGTCCGCTGACATCAACCACGCCACGTTCCATGACGTGCGGTGCATCGAGTGGTGGTACCAGGGGCAGCAGCAAGCGCTCCAGGCCACCTTCCACACTGTTTCACGCTGTGCCATCGACAACGGCGTAGCCCTTGTCAATGTCAGTCCTCTTGCGGCTGTCCCCGATGTGAGCATCTCGTGCACCCACAACCACCCTGTCGACTTGTCGCCACTCCGCGGCGTGCAGAACTTACGCGTCAACAAAACGCTTGTGGTTGCAGAGGAAGCACTTTCCACAGCGCAGCGCGTTGACCTGCACCGAGTCGCGCTCACCGCGGACACGCTCCATGCCGCACATGTCAAGCTGTCCCGCATGACTACGTTGCCTGACATGTTGCACCTTCCACGGGCCACCCATGTTGAGCTAGAAGACATGGGACCTGTGCCGAAGCTGCTAACTTGCCCGCCTCACCTTGACCAGCTTGTCGTTGATGGCACGTCGTCACTTGTCCTTCCGACCATTCCCGACTTTGAGCACGCACATATCTTGGTGCTCAAGCTCCGTTCAAGGACAGCGTTCACACGTGAGCGGCTGGCGGACCTCAGCCGCCGTGCCTGCAAACTAGTGCTCAGCGGCTGTGTGACAAACGTCACCGACTTGCACGATATTCCTGACGACGTACAGGTGTCGGTGGAGCACGTCGAGAGGGTGGACGGAGCCGTCCCACCCTGTGTCACAACGTTGCATGTTCGCTTCAACGGTGAACTGCACTGCAAACACCTGGGCACGGTGCCATGCCTGGCCCTTCACGCGAGCGGCCACGACCTGATTCACGACTTCCAACTCTTGTCTGGTCGGAGGTGTCTTCACCTGAACGAATGCACGCTCGCTGGCGAGGTTGCACGCTGCCAGTACCTGGTGCTGAACAGGTGCTGCGGGTGCGGTGCGTTTGCACACGTTGATTGGCTCGTGATCCACCGCGCAACCGTCGTCGCATCCCCACCCGAGGTCGGCAACTGCTCCCACCTGCCACTTGATGACAGCGACTTGAGCATCGCGCATTGTCGTGCGGTGTTCCAGTGCCACCTCCGATGGTGCCGCATCAAAGACTTTGCTTGCTTCGAAGGCGTGCAGCGTCTCGTCTTGAAGAACTGCTACTTTGACAAGCTGGAAAGCCTTCCGCACATCGGGTGCGTCGTCCTGCGCCGTTGCTCCACCACAGACAGGCGTTGGCGCTGGCCAGACCGTGTTCTCGTCAATCGATCCCCACAGGAGATGAGGTCGGCGCTGCTAGCTGGCAAGGTGAAGAGCGGGTAAAGACGGGGAGTGTTGGGGAGGGGGTTGAGTGTTGTATTGTGTGTGTGTGTGTGTGTGTGTGTGTGTGTGTGTGTGTGTGTGTGTGTGTGTGTGTGTGTGTGTGTGTGTGTGTGTGTGTGTGTGATGGTGCTGCACTTGGCCGTTGATGGCATGTGGATAGAAGGGGTATTTGCTGACGTGCTGATGATTGGTATAACGGTGATTGCCTTGTTGTGCTTGTGCACGAGAGAGGCGGGTGGTGAGTGGCGTGGTTGTTCTTGTGGCTTATTCAGCTTTACTTGCTGCGACAGTGTGAAGGAACAGTGAACAGCGTCACGCACATGAGTTGCAAGAATTCACGGAGAGGAAATGAGGGAACAGTGGCTGATGAAAGCAGGGGGATGGGAGGGATTGAGGCTGCGCAGAAACGCGCGAGCACAGCACATGAACACATCAACACCCCGGATCGATGACGAGCACAGGACTCCGCATTGGCTGGAATGCCGTAAACTAG